GAGCGCTGAAGGTTCTGGAAAGGACGGCCAGCTAAGAAGTCGCGAAGGACGGGGCCCTCTGATAGGCCGGCGCCACAGCGGCCTTGGACGGGCCAGAATTCTCCGCGAGAGAGACGGCCCTCATGCATCAATCCATCAGCTTACAGAGACGAGCCCGTAACCTTCCTGAGTCTCGGGGTCAGCCTGAAATGACTGGCATTTCAGTGAACCTCACTGCTCTTCAGCCCCCGCTCGATATAACCTGGTTAAATTAAGACGTAGTTGAATAACAGCGCTAAGTCTGTTAAAATCGCGCCCTCCTGTGCCGTTCTGTGTTCCCCGTAAGGCCAGTTCCTGGCACATCATGACCTACGGCTTCGGAACACTTTACGAGATAAAGTGGGAACGAGGACGGTTAGCTAAAGCGCACAACGGTACAGCACATGTAGATAAAGCCAGTTCATATTCCTCTGATTAAAAGGTCAGTCCCCGTAAGTGACATTGAACACGGATTTAGTCAAAATAATTGACATTCTGCACCATGTGTAAAATAAAATAAATTCTTATACTTGATAATACTAAGAAGCAATAAATACTAGTACACATAAAGGCAGTTTGAAATACTGACATTTACTTTATGCATATTATTAGCCAATAGCGATATTTTTAAGCCACAGGCAAAAGACAAACTCTTATTTTACAGCAAACTTTGAGTATACAGTTGAGTATACAGAGTATAGTTAATGGTAATTATGTCCCCATGCTTCTCCTCCTCATATACCGGGAAAGCAGTTTTGGAATGTGGATAAGTGGGTATTTCCTTAATTTTAGTGGCACATAAGAGGTCTGAATGGTTTACAGAGGGGCTAAACAAAATGTTAAGAAATGTTACACTTTCGCATATGCAGGTCAAAGTGTTCCTATGACACATCCTGGGAAGAAGAACACGAGTTCACTAGCAAAGTCACACATGCAAAACCGATATCCAGGAGGGCAGTAAGAGCGATATGCCTAACTGAAGCATCCCATTAGAATATAAAGATTATAAGGTCCTTTAAATGAGTAGGACACTCAACGAGTACATCAAAATACTTGTCACACATAGAGAGGACTTTGAGGGGTGGGGGGACTTAACATTTTTATTTAGTTGATATAAATGCTCATTGCCTGGTTTAACCTTGAATTTTTTTTACAATTTATGTAGGAACTTCAGTGGTGTTTGCTCTATTCGTACATTAAATCACTGGCGAGATTTAGGTCCATTCTATAAAAACACCCGTCGGTGACAAACTTCCTTCGCCTTGGGCTGACAGTCCTATACGGCTGATGGCAATATCATCTACTCAGTAGACTTCCTGTAACTGAGAGATGAGGTTGCAGCAGAGAGACATGATTTAAGAGAGCGTCTTGGGCCATTCCGACACAACGGTTTGTGAGGGATGAACTTGGTTGGAGCATTTAAGGGAAGAAAGAAGCATGCAGAGAAGAAAGTTTGACCTTAACCTCCTGTTCCAAAGCTATCGTGATGGTTGCCCTTTGCTCCAACTCATTGATCTGGAATATTTGCAGAATTTCAGCCTGTTTTGTTTCTTCTCCCAACAGGCAATTGATGGCACAAGTGTTCTGCTTGATTTATCTGCCCTAGATCTGTCTATGGGCTTTGTGAGTAATTTATGTGAAGTATGAATAATTTAGCTCAAACTCAATCACGAGCAATCAATTCGACGTGATAATTGAGAGGCGTGCCGTCGCTCAGAGGCCAGAAACCTCTCTGACGACCACCAGGCATGCCACGTTGCCCGAAGTCCGCAGGTTCTCCCCCACTACAATCTGAACGAGCTGGGTCATCCTGCTCACCCAGACCCTTCTGCGTTTCCATATGTGCTGGCCCGACATTTGTGGCTTGAGTCACATGTCACCAACTTGCTTTTATCGTCACTGACAGCCGCTTGGTTTCAGGAGAGGAAAAAATGTGATTTCGATTTTGATGATACTACTGCGCTGAAACTTAGTGGTGAAAAAAAGCATATAAAAGATATAATCATATGCTAAAATGTTCCGGTTTTTAAGCATAATTTAAGATGATGCCAGTGGCTCTGTTACTGCCTGGCAATCCATGTACTTCATCTAACAAAAAAAAATGCTCAGACTAGATAAAGGTTTCATTTTTTTTTTCCTTAGGTGAGGTAATGAAGACAACATGAAATACACATATTAGCTACTCTTGGCTATTGACACAACCATCTGGCTAGCAGAGGGCAACCAGCGATGTAATGCACCTGTTCTGGCCCTGGCTTGTAAACTAGGGTCACAGTGTCACCTTGTATGCCAATGGGTCATCTTACAGATAAAACTGTCCTCAGACGTGCACTATTCAAAGTAGGATATGCTGTAAAATATTTAGAGCAGTGTTTCCCAATCCGGTCCTCGGGGACCCACAGTCGGTCCATGTTTTTGCTCCCTCCGAGCTCCCTGCTATCGCAATTCCCCACATGCAACCAAAGCACAAGTTCAGCAGCACTTCATAGGCTGTCAAAGTCATCGAAGGACGAACGTACGGTACACATTTAGCTGGCCACAACAAACCTTTTTTTCCAGTGGACCAGGTCCACCAGAACCTCGATTTTGGGGCATATCTGGAACAAACACTCTCTATAACTCAGGCAGTCTGGAGTTTTGTCTGGCTTCACTGAATCAGGAGCCGTTTGACCTATCACAACGAAGCAGAAGGACTAAAGAAGACATTCCCTTATATATTTCCCATAATTCCAGTTCCAGCTTCTATAATAGTAGAGCAAAGCTTTTGGAATTTTACCAAATAATCATTAAGCTCATTACTTAATTCCTTAAATAATGACAGATAACTACTTGGCTAACATACCACTCGGCAATCGTGTCCATTGGATAAGCTAATCTATCTAGTTTCCTGTCTGATTAAAAATTAATGCAAAAGAATCAGGGGTAGCCTTAATGTTAAGGTTCTGACACGTGATCTTTACCTCGTGCAGCTTCCTAATGTAATCTATCACACCAGAACAGAACACGGTCAATGTGGCTATCGGACCAAACGTTTGAGATCATGTGGTAAAAAAGCCTCACCGTTTATCTAAAATCTGTTTCCCAAACAATAACCGATTCTAAGGCTGAAAACGAAGGTGTGAAATGTGGGGAGGCATGGTTGACCTCCATCAGATGGTACCTGCTGCAGGCTCACCCAAAGTTCAGTGAAGTTGAGGAGCTGCTGACTAAGAATCAGATCGCGATGGAAATGTACCCCAAGAGAGAAGGTACAGGCCTGGCTGTCGAACCACAACATGTTTGGGTCAATGCCGTTATCACAGTAAAAGCGAACTGATGTCACTTTACAGCAGTGAACGAACACATACTTCAAAAAACACATCAAAAAAATCATGAAAGTCCTAGAAACATAATAGCACAGCAAACTAAATTACAGTGAAAGATGGACATATATTGGTTTATAAACCTCACGGGGAGGGTGTTCAGTCCCAAGTCTGCATGACCAGGCAGGAACATCCAACATATTTCCCCATTCAATTAAACAATGCATGTCATTCACAAGCATATAAAACTTCTGAGTGCATGTTAAAACATCAAAGCCGATACCTCGGTCACATGCAGCGCGATGAAACATTGACCTCGGAGCTCTGGCTTGTTAAACAGCAGCATGTTTTCACTCGGTTTAGCGATCGTGTCGAATGAGCTGGGACAGGCATATGGGGACACCTGAACTAACAAAGAGAGATCTCAGCATTGACATTTACCTGTGACTCTGACACCCTTTTGATTTAGACCTTCATTGCGCCCCCACCCCCCAACATTCTTCCTGACTGATACCAAAAAAACTGCAAACAGTGACATATAGGGTGGTGATCCTATAATAATAATAATAATAATAATAATAATAATAATAATAATAATTATTATTATTATTATTATTATTATTATTATTATTATTATTATTACAACAACAACAATTATTATTATTATTTAAACATACTGTCTGGAACTATGTCTAAAACGTTCACAAAGTATTATTACGTCGGCATACATAAATATACAGAGTGCTGTAATTTATAAAATATTTAGCAGGTTAAACCCAACCAGTCCATTGGTTGGAATATTGCATCTGGGACACACTTCTGTTGCAAATAATCTGAAATGCCTCAAACCAAGAGAAGTGGAGATTCCTAAAGTAACCACCAACATCGCGTGGTCTTCGGGGATATGCGGTGTTTCTGTATAATGACTACCATTACTGCTGATCGATACGGTCTTCATCCACAAAGTATTACATCTCTGGCAGCCCGTACAGTAGTTTTAGCGCTGCAGATCAAAGCTGCCAACTCAACCCAAAGCCAAGCCCCCACTGTAAGATAAACGCACAGATGCGATGCTGAAAGATGGTCTCGCTGGAAATAAAAGACCGATAGAAACATCAGATTATATGCTTTTTTGTTATAATTTAACCACGTCAGATTGATACGGCCAGAACAGCACGGATGCGCCCAGCTCAGGATTTCTACTGTACGGATAGGACAACACACAAGTAAGCCTACATGGTTCACGGGGACTGCAAACATGCAATTGACTTGAGCGACCCTCAGTAATCGCCTAACAGACTAACAACAGTTTCACACTGTCAGAATGGCTATAATAACAGACTTTTCCCCCACGATGCGTGCTCTCCACCAGCGGCGATGTGAAATTACCCTCTTCAGAGGAGCATGATGCGTTTTATTACAACGATACAAAATGCAAAATGGAAACTACGTTACGGTGCCACTGGGTGACACCTCGCCTATCTCCCCGTTTATACGCAGATCGTCATTTTCGACGTGCGCGAACCCCGGCCGTTTTTATTATACTTGAAACACGGCGATACCTGCGATCTAAAGCATTATCGCTTAAGAAATCCCGTCTCTCCAAGTCGCATGTTTCCCGTTTCTTATTAATACCCCTCATCGAGATCTGCGCCTGTCTGTCTTATTTCCGACACGTACCTGTTTAGATGCGGGGATCCGGCCGGGAAGAGACGCGTCGCATCTTCGGCAGAACGTGCGAAATCCTCCGGCACGCGCTGCACTTCGCTCGCCGCTCCACGAAGCAAGCCGGCTCGGCGGCCGCTCACGCTTTTAACGCGGTCGCCTTGTTTTTTTTTCACTGTTTTTTTTTTTCGACTAAACTGTCATCGCAGTTGAAACGTCCCTAAGCTGTCGCCGAGCCAGTTGAGCTCCGCGCCCTGCAGTCGGGGTCTGACGGAATTGTTTATTCTCGGTATCCCCGGCGCTCCGCAATGCAATCTACACTCCTCCTCTCCTCGGCGTGAACGCCACCCTTAAAGGCATAGTGACATTCCAGGCCGTCCCACACGCAGCTCGAACCTGCCCAGCGAGCCTCCACGGTGTTTCACTAAAAAGCAAAACGCAGAAGTCCTATCGATTTCAGTAAATCCCAAGTTTACGTAGAGCACACGCATGTGATACGTTACTGCAATGTTTATTTGCAACATTTGTTTTATTTGCCACCGAAACGAAACGCAAAACCAACTACTACAAAACAAACACTGAAAGTGTGCTTATCGATTTTATTAAACATTATCAGCTTAAATATATGGACAGGTAAAATATTATGGGTGGAGAAAACTCAATTAAACAAACAGGGAGTGCTACCTGGGCTCATACTGTCTTGTATCTAAATGATGAAGAGCACGGCTGTAGATTTCTAGCAGTTCTTATCATGCTTTGTTAAAATGTACCAAGCCCCATCAGTTCAGCCAAATAATATATAGATGGGGGCATGAGCAAACACATCCAGGGTGTGGACATAGCATCCTATGTTGGGGGGGGGGGGGGGGGGGATGCCCCAGCTGTTGTCAGGTTTTCTGCAGTTCTCTCATGAATGAGGAGTTGATAACCTGCTTGTGGTCCCACCCCTCCTCAAAGCCTGGCCTTTCTCCCCCAGCAGAGCAGCACATTTCCTGCCCCCGCCCCCGTGCCATTGTGAGTGCCGCCCCCACGCTGTGCGGCCGACCAGAGGGTCCAGGATGGTGCTGGCGATTGACGGAGCTGCGCGGGCGGCCATCAGCCTGACGTGACGACGACACCCTTGTGTCGCGGAAGTCCCTCATTAGCATAATCTGCCCACGGAAACAGCGTAATGATGTTTGGTTGTTAGGGGAATTAAACAAACAAAGGCTACAACAGAGAGCATGTGCACACATTACACCTTATACCGCAGAACCAATCTAATTACTCTGTCCTGAGTCCAGACTCTTTACCCCTGATTGTCAGATGCAGAACTGGACTTCATGGTGTTTACATTTTTATTAATTTCCGTTAATTATAATAGCGAGGTGCTTTTAAAGTTATGAAAATTGGTGACATGCTTTGAGATTAACTCATTTTGTGTAGTACTAAACCTAAAATAATCATATTCTGTTTACATTTCAACCTTAAAATTGTATACCACTTATAAAGAACCCTCAAATTAACTATTTAAGACATAACCTATAAATCAAACATAGTACACTCATTTACTTTGTGGTTAATTGACCTTATGATGTGTTTTAAGATAATTCTCACAGTTCTCATCTTCCTATTTTCTCTTCTCTGTTCCACCCAACAAACTTAAACATGGTGTCTGTCAATGGGCCATCACAGAGAAGCAGTGTCAGCAATTTAAATCTTTGACCTTATACGAACTTTCACCTTTGACCTTTAACCTGAAATAGCATGCGAATGGAGATGCAAGATCTTCACATTCATTTTTTAAAGAACTTCTTGACCCCTTTGTGCCGTTGACAGAACAGCGGTTCATGGAACTTTGACCTTCAACCCCAACATATTACTAGTTTAAGTTTGTTGGGAACGAAAAGCAATACACGCTAGTCTAGAAAAAAATATCAACAAAACAAAAAAGCTTGATGAATTAAACTATCAAACTTGGCCAGTGAATACTTAATGGCCGACATGATTGAGCTAGATGTGCTTGAAAATGATTCGTAAAGTAAAAAACTCTTAACACTCCTGTAAATCATTTTTAAGACCATTTGTGAGGGTGTCCTGTTGTTTTATAGGTTAGAGTGCATTTTTTATAATCTTGTAAACACTTAACAGTTTACCTGCATAGGATCTGGTGTGAAAAACAAGGTGCCCACACTGACAGATGTGTTCTTCCGCACAGTTAACACTTCCCACAATTTGTGCGTCACCAAATATAGAAATAATAATAAGCGACTGCATCTAGCTAGTAGATTCACAGCCAAATCAGCTCTCGGTACTTATATTCATATTACAAGATCTTAAATATCTGAAACTAAGTATGTAGTCTACACCTTGTAAAATAAACTACATTAAGAAGACTGGTTAGTTTTCGATGTAACACAAGCAAAAAGCGGGCCAATTAAATTTTAATGAGGAGAGGAGAATGACATAATTAATTAATTAATTAATACCTGGCATTCCGTAATATTCTCCCCCCCCCCCAAAAAAAAATATCCCACATTATACGATGACATATAAAAGAAATAAAACTCCTCTCAACTTGTAGTATTAATTAAACTTCATTAGATGTGGTTTAAGATATGCCAGTGGTTAAAATAATTTACCATAGGCCTATGTTTATTGGGGGATTTGTGGTAGCTTAAAAAGATTCATATATGTATCTGTGCAAACTGGAATAATATTAAATTAATTTCTGGACATTGACTATAAAATCGATCAGTTGCTTATCTACAGTTCAGACACATCGATTTAAAAATACATTTGCTACCTTGTCGGGGGGGGAAAATCACAAAACCAGGTTCATAAAATATACAAAACCCCGGACAAAACGAATGTTAAAAATGTAATATCTCAAAAAAAAGAACTTAACTGTTTATTAAACATTAAAACATGATTTATTTCTGTTATTATGAAGCAGCGGGGCAGATTCCTTAATCGAGACAGCTGTTAGGGAGCAGCAAACATCAGTTTAAGTGCATGTGCACGGGGAGTGTAAGCAAAAAGTGCGCATAAAACGGGCTGAGTAAATCATCAATCTCGGTATAGCTGCGCCGCGATTCAATTTTCAGTTGCGCGAAACACAACGATACGTTTAGCCGGGTGCGATTCCTAAATAGATTGGGAGCCGTTATGAATAAATCATGGTTTTTACAGCGGAAGGAGAGGCATCCCGAAAACTGTAATGAACCGCTCAAGCGGGAGTTCTGGTTCAGTCTTCGGTTACTGGGACTGATTACCAGTGAAACTACGTGAACGTATGGGTGCTGGATGTACGAGATTTATTTCTGCCATTATAACCGAAATTTTTGCATCTATATGCCATTTTGGCTCAAAATCCCCGCACTGACATTTATTTTTGTTTTGCTGTTTATCTGTCTTTAACTTGACGACACAATAAAAATCGACAGAATGCAAAGGTCGTTTTTCCCCCCCTGGCTGACCGCATCACAGCCCGCAGGGGACTGTCATAGAGACTTCAGCCTCAAACGCCAGACAGGCACAGAGGGGAACAATCTGAGTACCAGCAGACATTAACCTCTGAACCCTGGGTTTTAGGAGAAATACTTCCAGGCAGGAAGTCTGGAGGACTCAGTAGGAACCAGGCAGGTGCAGGAATAACAAGGGGTCTGAGGGAAACGGAATAACCTTTGGAGTTACATACGACGCACAGTCCCAGAAATCGAATGGAGATTAATAACCATCAAGTTTCCATTAGGCTGAAATACCACTATAAAATCTGATGAGTTTATTCAGTTTTTAATAACCCCCTTCCACATTCCTATTTGATTGCATAAACTGGATTAGACTATACCGGGGACACTGACAGTGTATTATAATTATTGAACGACCGGTAGTTAATGAAAAGTCAGCAATACACAAGGGATCTCCTTAGAAAGTTTAGGCGATTTGATTGGCTTTCAGCCACTGTGGAGCCCTTATATTATGGGCTAACTGAAATACCACAGTGACCTTTCCTCAGTTCTAAATCTCCACCTTCCCAAGTCACTCTTATGTGTGTCCCTCTAAAACGGTACAATTGGAGGGCTGCTTCTATTTCATCTAGGACAACTTACAGACCATCGGTAATTGCAAAGAATACCATGTGGGCCAATTCTGAATACCGGTCACAACTTTGGCCAGTGTGAGCACGGCAAAATCTGCAGAAATTTTCTATTAACGTCATGGTAAAATTTAACTACTAGCTGGAATAGCCTAAAGCTAACAAGGCAATCTGCACCAGTCACAGGTCAATTTATAGAGAGACACTGATCCAGAGGAACAGTTTGAGAGTCTCAGCTCAGTGTTATATTTACAGTATGTGGCTTCAGCGATAAAAACCAAAGAGGCTATCAGATTAGCCTGGAGAGAGCTGTTACACTCGCTAGAGTAAACAGCTCTGCATTAAGATGTGAGCCTCGTTTTTTTCAGAAAGCAGGCCAGATCCACGTCCGTCGTTCATAAACGTGGCTCAGAAATGCATACGGTGACAAAAGTTACCTTTCAGAATAACACACCAGAGAACAAAAAACCACGATGGACTGCTTTTGAAAGTACAGCAATACTAAAAGAGCAACTGATAGTTAGAGTAGGTACTGTAATGTATTGGTAAGAGATTGATGGAGAGGTTGCTTAAAAAAGCGAGATTACAAAGGCATTAAAGTCATTTGTGGCACGAGATGAGACCAAAATATTTTTAATTCTGTTTCAGCTTGGACTGTTGGAGTTAACAGGCTGAGAATTAATAAGAATCATCCATAGCCCACTTTGTCAATACCTTTACAGTAGCTCTGCTCGCTTGTTTTGGTGAAAAATCAGGTCCCTACAGGGACACCTACAGGTGCACAGAAGCACTGCAATTTAAAACAATTGCGCTTGAAAGAAAGAAAGAAAAAAGCCCGCAGCCCTGTGGCACATTCAGAGGTGTTGTGAACAGAATTCCCCGGCTTAATTTGCGGTTTAACGAAACTGGCTAAATGAACTGCGACAGATCCCTCGCAGCGATTGCAGGCGCATTCTCCACACCTCGTGCCCCCGGTGCCTCTATGCATAAGTGCCCCTACATGTTCCACACGCACCGAAACACCAAGTAAAGGTGTGAAGGTCACTGAATCAGAACCAAGGCAACAACCCTTAATGTTTATGGCAACAGCGCGGCACCTGTAAAGGGCATTGAACCATGTTTCTCAGCCAAAGCGGGGATCGAACCCTGTTGAGGGCACAAGTCTACGTATAACAAGGAGAGAGTGTCCCGTCTGAAATATGCATCAACCAAGGACATTCCTCCATTTCCCCCCCCCCTTGTTTCATTTG